TGAAGTTGAGCTTCTCTTCAGGTCACGTGCCGTTTCCGTGTACCGGCTGGACACTACGTTATTCTTCCGTGCACATTTGACCCGGGTTGTGACGGAGAGTTCCTTCTACGAATCTATGTAAACGGAAAACTTGAGACTTGGTGAGATTTCTTATTTCTCCATTCATAATGGATTTCTCTTTATCTCTTTTTATCATTACACACATGCTATTCTATACTTCTTTCTTTTATTACACACTATCATAAATTGACACAATTGCAACCTGCGGACCTTTTTGCTAGTCCAACTAAGAACTGAATCCTTATTATTAAGGTTTTCCCATGAAAACTTTCTATTTTCAGCCGTTTGCAGTAAGATCGATGCCTTGAAGGCGGTGGACGACTTCACTTACAGCTTTTGTTGTTATAATTGGTCTCTTGATGGTACACTTTTGTGATATTACATTTGCATAATAAATATGTCGGGGTGTTCTACACTTTGTACGGTCGTTGGTCCCGTCAGAACGGGGTCCTTTTTTTTCAGGACTTATACTTATCTCATGAGCTCCGTTTCCTTGTTTATATTACTAAGCAGAAGAAACTTGCTACAATAGTACAAGATTTCATACCAGTTAAAGGCAGAATTTACGATGAAAAGTTAGCTCATTGGAAATAAGGGTAGAGGTGGTCAGTGGAGCAGGGATGAAGAAGAATTTGAACCCGAGAAATGGGACCCCTTCCTTGCCCGTTGATTTGCGCATTGATGCGACTCTCATCGCTGTGCCCTCTTCAACACTACTCACTCGCCACGTATAGACCTGCGGCGAGTGATTAGATAGTCGGTGGGCGTACCCCGCCAACCGCGCCAAGAGTGAGCCATGCTAGATCGCCGAGGTCAAATCTTTCGCTGCCAATTGCGCGTCGGTCAGCACCCTCAGGAGGTCCGCCTGTCTCCCAACTATGCAATTTTCCCCTTCTTTGACCTTCGTTCTTATCGTGAATCCTCCTTTAGGAACTTGACGAAAATAAAGCAACAGCTCCTTGTCCTTATTTTGCTGTTTCAGTCTTATTTATTTGGTTTCTGCTCTATTTGGCTTACACTACACTCATCTTCTCCCACTAAGATACACATTCCGCGATACTACCGAAATTCGATATAAGGTCCCAAACGCTGTCCCCGCCTTACTCTCTGCTTTTCCTAAGTCACTTTCCTCTTTCGTCGTCCTATCTCGTCCCTTTGTCGCCAGAGACTTTCGCTCACCCGTGCACTCCTTTGAAGTAGAACTAAACAATAATTGTGGATAAGCAATAAAAAGAAAACTTTATTAGGGGCGTACCCGCCATTTCGTCTGCTTACATCTTCATTATGGTCACAGGCTACTACCGTTTCATAATTCACCACCTTAACCCACATATTTTGTCATGAGTTAGATGTACTTGATTAAATCCCTAGTATGTGTGTACAGTTGCGGAATCCATATCAGCCTGCTAGCAGTGGTAAATGGCTAGGCGAATGTGACAAAGCCGTGGGTTACTGTAAAGAGTGATCTGAATGCAAAGGTCAGGCTTAGCCTCACTGAAGAAATACCTCCCGTGGACAGAGGTGCTGGCGTGTCACTGCAGTGGTCGCACTATGGACGTTACCAAGACGCTAGGCGCTCAGGGCTAGGATCCCCTTCGCCCAGACGGGGCCGTGCCCGCACACCATGCGATATCTTATCTGTTAATGTTGATCTGATATGGTCCTCCACCCAGAGCTCTGTTCGCTCCCGGGTCACATTTTCTTCTTTCTTTCGCGATCTTTCTACTTACGCTCTAGGTTTCTATCTCCGCAGCGTAGGGTAAGGAGGCTTTGTATTTTCTTTATTTTTAACGATCTTTCCTTTTTCTTCCCGTTGCAGTCACTTCACATCCCTACCATATTCGCGTTAAGATTACCATATGAATCTCATCGAAAAGAGGGGAAGAATGAAGGCCTCGTTTGTCGGTTAATAAAGCGTTCTCATATTCGCCTTTAAATGCTCTGACCTTCCCATGGAATTTTGGGAAGCATACCCTGCAATCTGTATAGGTTTTGGAGCGCTGATTTCAAAATGGCTCGTGGAACTGCTGACGTGAAGTTCCTAAGCAAAGTTATGAGCCTTCAAGGTGGGCAAAAAAAACGTTGTTGAGGCGAGCTTACCTAATGGAGTCACGGTAGCCATGCTCTACGCCCACAACTCCCAAGTTCTTGATCAGGGCACCCATTTACCCTTATAGAACAAGAAATCATCGAAGCACGTGATTCACCAGGTAAGCTCGCCTCAGTAACGTTTTTTGCCAACTTTGAAGGCTCATAACTTTCTTAGAAAGTTCACGTAGCAGTTTTAGTGTCCATATTTGTAATCAGCGTCAAAGAATCTATCGATGTGCCTAGGTTCCTTTCCAAGTTCCATGGGAATCTCAAAACATCCTCGGTAAGTGACCTGACCTGAGGAGGAGAACTGCAACGCACCCCCACATCTGTTGTGCGGCGCTGGACCAAATTGTGGGATTTTGAGGATGGAATTGGAAGTGTGTCAGGTTGGGGCAGATTCGATGCCACGATATCGACACAATCAACGACTGAATATAGGGGCGGTGGGGTAGACATCGGTAGGACTCCACTAGCACTGACAATTTATCCCATCCCATGGAATGAGGAGACGATGAAGAGCTTCCCACGATTGTGGGCATATAATTTATATCATAATTGAGAGCCTCAGGAAGCCTCACATTTTTATTCCCATAACAAAATGTTACGTAGACAATGAATCTTCGGATAAATATGTTTGCTTCAATTCCTTGTCGTCATGGAAACTGTCAACATACTTCGCTAAAAAATGAAACGTTCTCTGTGTTTTTGTAACTCGTAGTCCTGGGAATTCCAGCAGCACTGCGAATCCGAGTGTGGCATGCAATAAAACAAACCCCTCAGACCATTGACCAAAGCTGCACGTGTTCCCAGGGATAAGTAATGGGTTCCAATGACACCCAAACCTTTGACGGTTTTCCTTCATGCTCAGAAAACTTGTTCATTTCTTCTGAACAATGATGGTTCACTGATATTCTCTATCAATTACTAGAGATTCACCAGTATTCAAAGGTTACCAGGGGAAAAGGCCCACCTTGGGCTAAGTTTTCAGAACGAGCGAAGGTGTCGGATCAGGAGCACCCAAGCACTGATGCGCAGAGACGC